AAGATGAAATAAATGGTACTGCAGCATAATTTCTAAAAAAGTAAGCAATCTCTTTTTATCCGACCAACCTAGACCTTTTCAATCAGACTGGACATTCAATTTCCTTTCAGCTTTATCAAACCTTTGTTGTGAGGACCTAGCCTCAGATTAGGATAGGATCCAGATCTAGACTTTGCTTCTCCTTTCACAGAGGGTGAGATGGCAAAATAGCAATCAGCTGATTTGACGAGGATGAGAAGGCAACAATCCATCAGCTGAGTTAGCGAGGGCGAGAAGGCAACAATCCATCAGCTGAGTTGGCGAGGGTGAGAAGGCAACAATCCATCAGCTGAGTTGGCGAGGGTGAGAAGGCAACAATCCATCAGCTGAGTTAGCGAGGGTGAGAAGGCAACAATCCATCAGCTGAGTTGGCGAGGGTGAAAAAGCAACAATCCGTCAGCTGAGTTCGCGAGGGTGAGAAGGCAGCAATCCATCAGCTGAGTTGGCGAGGATGAGAAGGCAACAATTCATCAGCTGAGTTCGCGAGGGTAAGAAGGCAACAATCCATGAGCTGAGTTGACGAGGGTGAAAAGGCAACAATCCATCACTGAGTTGGCGAAGGGTGAACTGGCAACATTCTATCAGTTGATGCTTGCAATTTGAATAATTATTCACAAAAAGGGATTATATAATAAGTAACTTAAGTAACTGTATTTTCAACTTTTAAGTAGACCTTCATGCAAGATGGCAATGCCCGATTCACAACGGTATCTTTGAAACCTTCATATGATCAATAATGTGGAAGATATTGTCGTTGTTCTAGACTTTAAAGTGTTTTTTTTTCAGATAAATCCAAAATGTCAAAATTAAAAAGAATCAGTTTTCAAAATGATTAACATTGATATCTAATTCATACTTGATGACAAAACTTTTAAGTAAATGTCGATGTGAATCAGGCATTGTCATCTTCGCACAGGGTTACTTGAAATTATGCTTCCAGTCTCACGCTTTAAAGGCCGCAGGTTGATCTTAGCTTGACAGAAAACCGGTTTTCTTATTTTTTTGCGCCAAAAAAAACTTTTATAATAAATAATTGTGATACTAAAAAACTAAGGGGAGGGAGGGGGGGGCACACTGCTGAAAATGGACCATCAGGTTTCAAGTCAAAACACATAAACTTTTTCTTAGGATTATGTTTAAATGCAGGCTACTGAGTTATATTCTTAATTTTCAGAAAATGCCACCTCGGGAATTTGGAGCAAATCAATTTTTAAGAAAATGTAGAAATCAAGTGCATTCACAGGTCTTAAATTAAACAAAAATTTCATTTCAAGACTTCATTCTGCTTCTTCTGGGTTTTTTGAAGGTATTTTTTTAACACTATATGACATGGTCTCCATATTTTATTATTTTTCTTTAACAGTCATGAAAATTTGTAGAAAAAAATCAGACCCCTAAGTCAACTGCCTGACTGTCAAAAGGCCACCCGAAAAAAGTTTTTTTGATGTAATTTTTACTGATTTTACTTGAAAAAGTCTTTTTTTAGGCAGTAATTGGGCAATTATACAGTTCACTTAAGGCTTTGATTTTTTGGCTAAAACATGTTTTAAGGAAAATTCACAAAATTTGGGGACCCTGCCATCAACAGTTCTAAACATATAGCAAAAAACTCAGAATAATCTTGATTAATCATTGAACCGACAGTTACGATTGAGTTTAAGACTTAAAAATGCACTTTATTTCTACAATCTATACATAAATTTGGCTTGGTTGTCTTGGTGTTTGTTTGTCTGTTTGTTTGTTTGTATCCAATAAACGTCAAAACGGCTGAACCGATCGGGCCCAAATTGTTTGTGTTACATCTAGGGACCCCAGGGAAGGTTTATGAATGATCAAAATTTCAAATATTTGTCTCCATCAAAATTCGATCTTCATTAAATTTTTGAAAATTTTGAAAATCCACGAATTTTTTTGTGAAAATCTGCGAATTATTTTTGTTTTGTTTTACGATATACACAAAGAGAACATGTTCACAATTAATTTAGAAGATGGGCGCGAAGCGCCCTCTAAGGCTAGTTTCTTTAAAATGGATTTACTTAAAATTCCTTGGTGGCATTTTCTGAAAATTTAGATTATATAACTCAGAAACCAGCATATTAATGTATTCCGAAAAAAATTAGGTGTTTTGACTTGAATCCTGATTGTTTTTTTCAGCAGTTTGGGAAAAAAGTAAGAAAAGTAAAATCTTTTTCCAACTTTTGAGCAAAATTATGACATTATTGAATCCCTGATATTTACATTACAACCCTGAAACCAGGGTAGCAATGTCAGATTGCAACCCTAGGGCTGCAGTCTAATTAATTGCGAATTTTTCTGCCAAGAAGTTGCGGATTTATAACTTCGAAAACATTAATTAAATTTGATTTCTGAACTCAAAAATATGTGTTACAAAAATATATAGATTTTACAGTTTTTAAAACCTAAAAAAGGTAGATTTTGATGTTAATTAAAATATTATATTTTGCTAAGAAGTGGAAAAATCTCCTTAAAATTTGTTTAAGAGTTAAAAAAATTACATATCTCTTCATTTACGTGTCATGAAGAGATAAATAGTTAGTTATTTAAATCTTAAAAAGTGTTTTATACTGATTATTTCCTCCACACCAGATCTTAGTAAAGGATTTAAAATCATTTGACAAATACTTTTTTATGTTTTAAATCCTACGTTGTGATTAAAAAATAATAATTTAAAACAAAGTTATATATATTTAATTATTAGATAATAATAGAAGATTTAAATAATACTGCATGAAAAGTATAGATAAAAAGATAGTTTAGTAAACTTATTTCTACATTTAAAGGGACTGTGACGTAATTTTAAGCATACAATCATTTAAAAAGTTGCATGATCGATTCACAACGGTATCCTTTACACCTAGAAGTATCATGAAATCCTTTTTATTTTTTCAAATTGAAAACTTATAATTTGGAGTTGTGATTTCTTTATGTCAGTGACTCCCGAACTTATGCAGCAGCATGGTTATAATGAAAGGAAAGTTAATTGCAGTTGCGTGCGCAAGGTACTAATGCTAGGAAAGTTAATTGCAGTTGCGTATACTCTGCGTGCATTTTGAAACCAGTTCTCTCTGGGCGGAATTTGTAAACAAGAATAGATGCATCAGTGTTCGTTTAGTATCCGAGGAGGTTAAAAGCATTAGATTTTGATAATTTTGATAATTCACAAAATAGTTTTCTATGACAAGAATATTTCATTGATTTTTTATGTGAAAGATGGATGTCAGGCTTCAACATCCGTCTTGTTTTTACATTACCGCCTAGAGACATTACACTGCAGTACAAAAGATGCGTACACCTCTGATATAACTATCCTTGCATTATAACCTTGTGCAGTTAAAGGTTACAGGGCTAATGAAATGATTGCAATGTTGGGTCACCTGAAATTGCGCCGAAAGTCCCTTTCATAATTTCCATATCACAATGGCCGAACTTAGAACCGAACAAATAGGAATTAAAAGACACATAAATAGTAAAATTATACAGACTCATACTTCTATTGGTCAAGATCAAGATTATTCTAAATTCAACCATTTTTATCTTTAACAACGTTTTGGCAAGCTTTAATCTATTGATTTCACTAAAATATTAAATTAATCATGAATTTCATTACAAAATAGTTTTTTTTTGTAATATTTATCTACGGTGGAATGCGATAATACCTATATAATGAAGACGACTTTTCTATTAAAGTTTATGTTGTTTACAATCTTTTTTTGAATTACAAGTTTTCAAATAATCAAAAAGAAGCTTTTTCAATTGATAGCTTATCTTTGTTTCCATTTATTTTGTGTATGTATGCTGTGTAATAGCTTGATATAAATCAAATTTTACGTCGAAAGTCGTCTTCAGTGTATTAATATAATCGTATTATTTTGGGGAAAAAGTTTTAAAATATTTTTAGTTTAAAAAAAATTGATTTTGCATAGAGTGCAGCTTTAGACAAGCTTGCTAGAAAAATTATTAGATCAAAAAAAATTAGATTGGTATGTGTATCTTTCCAAAAATTAGATTGGTATGTGTATCTTTCAATAAATTTTCTGCATCTTTTTTTTCTTGCATCACATAACTCATTTTTTTAACTTTTGTTTTTATTTGAAGCATAACAAATGCTGGCTATAGTGATGAAAAAGCAAAGCTACTGGGATTTGAGCTGGAAAAGTACATAAAGGATCATGTACTTTAAACGTACATACAAAATGAAGAACTAGATTTATATAAAGCAAAGTTTAAAATACATGATTGCCAATATAAAGCCTTTATTGTGCAATTATTTTAATATTCGGGTGAAAAGGATTTTATCTTATTCTCAAATAAATCTTTAAAAAAATCCTTTTTAACTGCGGCAGTTTTAAAAGTTGTACAACCGTCCGAACTTTATATTCTGTGAACTGTCTGAGTACAGAATGAGATTAAGTTTGATTTTGTAGCAAGATTACTCTGTTATCATTAACTGTTTTCATCACAAATTATACTGGAGTTTATTATAGTTTTAACTTTATCATTCTTTCAGGAAGGTTTTATTTTATTTTAATCCAGTATCTAGTATCCAGTATCCATTATCCAGTATAAAGTATCCAGTATCCCGTATCCAGTATCCAGTATCTAGTATACAGTGTCCTGTATTCAGTATCCAGTTTACAATCTCTGGATTTAGTGTCCAGTACCCAGTATCCAGTATCCTGTATCCAATTTCCAGCATTCAGGATCTTGTATCCAGTATCTTGTATCCAGTATCTAGTACACAGTATTTGGTATCCAGTATCTAGTACATAGTATATGGTATCCAGTTTCCAGTATCCAGTATCCAATATCCAGTATCCAGTATAAAGTATCCAGCATCCACTATCTAGCATCCAGTATCTCGAAGCCAGTATTCAGTATCCTGTATCCAGTATCCAGTATCCAGTATCCAGTATCCTGTAGCCAGTATTCACAGTATCCTGTATCCAGTATCCAGTATCCAGTATCCAGTATCCTGTAGCCAGTATTCACAGTATCCTGTATCCAGTATCCAGTATCTCCGGAACAATGAGTCCTGGTTTCTTTAGTGGAATGACTCTGGTTTTTCTAGTGGAGCTACTCCTTGATTCTTCTCTGGTAAAAGGACTTCAGAATATTCTCTATATAAAAGAACTCCAGTAAATTCTCTAAATAAAGGACTCCGGTACACTCGCTAGATAAAGAAAAACTCTATTCTCTAGATAAAGAACTCCTTGTTTCCATAGATAAAGGACTTTCTCTAGTTGATGGCCTCCTAGTTTCTCTAGATACAGGACTCCTGGTTTTTCTAGATAAAGGACTCCTAGTTTTTCTAGATAAAGGACTCCAGGTTTCTCTAGATAAAGGACTCCTGGTTTCTCTAGATAAAGAACTCCTGGTTTCTCTAGATAAAGTACTCCTGGTTTCTCTTAATAAAGGACTCTTGGTTGCTCTAGATAATAAATTTCTAGTTTCTCTAGATAAAGGACTCCTAGGGTTTTTATAGATAATGGACTTATTGTTTCTATAGATAAAGGACTCCTTGTTTCTCTAAATGAATGACTCCTGGTTTCTCTCCTCCTCTATACTCCCTGAGTCTGACTCCTCTCCGCTCTCACAACCAATCTGGAGTTCTATCTCTGTAAGCCTAAGATCAACACTTCGCTGGGTTTGAGACAGTTGGACAGACATACTTGTATTCTCAGATTCAAGGGTTCTCAGCCTTAGAAAATTTCATGATTAAAGGGATTGTTTCCATAATTTCGAGTGACTCTCGATTTAAAAATTTATTTATTGAAACAAACTAAATTTAGTAAACAATGATTGCTTAGTAAGGGGGGGGGTCGATTTTAACATTTATAAAAAAATATTTACAACTTGTATTGGAGGGGCATTGACAATCTGAACGGCTTTAAGAAATGTAAAATTTGTGTAATTTATCCACACGGAAATGATTTCTGGGTGGGACCAAATAGCTTCTATTACAATAGATGGCAACGTAGAATTTTTATACTCTCAGTACAGCTGTATTCTTACGTCACAAGTGTCAACTTAGTTTTTGTGTCCGACAAAATTATTAATAAAAGTGATAATTTAAGGATAAAGTGCTTATCTCACAGTAAAATAAGTGCAGTTTTATATGTTCTTTATTTTCGGTTTTCAAATTTTTTATTTAACCTTGGAAACATGTCAGCTAATGGGAGAAAATTTCGTTTTTCTTTTTATATTTGACACTTGTGACGTCGTGTATTAATGGTTCATTTCTCTGTTGCCACCTATTGTACTATTTGGGTGGGACAAAATCGTATATTTTCAATTACCTTTCTCTGAGCCGTTTGATCTCCATTATGAGCTGGTTTGCCTGCAAGGACGTGGTTCCAGGATCCTCAGTTCTTATCTCTCTCTCTGATCCTACTCCAGGAGCTACCATGAGTAGGTTTGAGTTGGTTCCTGCTAAGGTACTGAATGTGTTTAGATTGTGAGATGATGGTCTGGTGGAGTTGGTACTCCCCCCTCCTCCTCCTACTTCCATTGAAGATACTTGGCTCGCATCTAAAAAATGATAATAATAATAATTATAATAATAATAATGATAATAATAACATTAATAATAATAATAATAATAATAATAATAATAATGATAATAATAGTAATAATAATTAGGTAAATATCATTAATGATAAATTTAACAATTAACTTTATGACACCAAAAGAGATTGTTCCTTTTTTTCTGGTAGAATGAGAGGTATCGATCCTTTAAAGTGTACAAAAATACTGAAAATGTGGATTAAGGCTAAAAAAATGAAAAATTAATTTATACGTTTAGAACTTTTCTGATTAAACTGTATTATGTAAGGATCTGTAAGGATCTGTAATATGAGAATAAAAAAACTAAAATAATATTGAGAATGAAAAGTACAGAAAAACACTGTTCCCTCACCCCTGGCGAGAATCTATTTTTAGAAAGAGAATTAATTAATTTATCTATCAATCAACATTTTGTCTCCGTCCTCACAACATTAGGATGTTATTCCGTCGCTTATTAAAAACAGGGATCCAGATTATATACCAGGGGATTCAAGGGATCCAGATTATATACCAGGGGATTCAAGGGATCAAGATCTTCTTCCACAGTTAAATGGGTCAAACTATTAAATCTGCTAGACCTTCGATATTTCAAACTATTAAATCTGTTAGACCTTTGATATTTCAAATTATTAAATCTGTTAGACAATTTGATATTTCAAACTATTAAATCTGCTAGACCTTTGATATTTCAAACTATTAAATCTGCTACACCTTTGATATTTCAAACTATTAAATCTGCCAGAGCTTTGATATTCCAAACCATTAAATCTGCTAGATCAAATGTTTATGCTATACAGCTCTTAATTTCGAAATAAAGAAATCGCTTATATTTAACAATACAATCGCGTTTTAGTGTCAAAATTGGATGCCTGCCAAATAACGAATTTTTTGTTAAATAAAAGCGATTTTTTTGTTGAATATATAAGCATCTATTTTATTTTCGAATTTTAGGTTGTCAGGTTTTAGTAGTAAGTAAAATATACCTATATTTGAGACAAATTAAAAAAAAATGTCTTCAAGTGTGAAAAATACACAGTTTGTGTGGCATTTCCGATTTACAATTGTACCCTTTACTTTAATGTCTGACAAAAAAATATGATCTGAAAATTATTTTTATATTGTATTTCTTGTTTAATGGTGAAAAAGACTTGTTAAAAAGAAAACAATGTTTTTAATTTTAACTTTATGCTAAAATTTATACCAATGTTTCATTCAATATTTTGGATTGAAACTGTAGAAATTCAATCTAAAGAATTTATATCTTATATTTTATATTAATATCCAATATATTAGATGTATCGATAGTTATGCAGAGCATATAAAAAAATATATTGCACTCTGTTCTCTCAGAGACTTGACATATCATTTAACTTTTGACATCTCTTTTGTCTTGTACAGTTCCAGTTCACATTTATCATTTTTCTGCAATGCAAACAGGAAAATGGCAAAGTGAACATTTCATTAAAAAAAAATAAAGAATAACATAACAACATTAAATATACACATGTCGTCTTCCTATTCCACAGTTTCAATGGAATATTGCTACATTTAAAATTCAGTGATGGTGATGGACCAAACCTCTGTAGAGTAAAAAAGTAGATGTTAGTTCCACATTTATTGAAAATATATTTCGGTCTGGGTTGACCCTCGTCAGTTCTTGAGATGGTTTCTTCACAAAGATTAAAAACAAACTGCTACATTGTTTAAACACAAGCAGTAATAATATGTGTAAAACATGTCCTCATGTTGATTTTTACGCACCAAATTAAATATCTAAATTTCAGGAAATCTGGGAAATTATTTTTAAAAAGTCCGCGAGTTTATCTCCACTGTACAGAAAACCAACAGATCCCTTAGTAAATATACATTATACATAGTACAGATAAATATGGACAATAAGATAGTTTTTGTTTGTATACATAGGGTTATATATATTGGCATTGTTTACTTAGCAAACAATGCATTGTAAACACCATTCTAAATTATTCATCTGCAACGTACACCATTAAATGTTAATATAGGGATAAGGTACCATGTTCCCCCACCCCCTCCTCCCCCCTCCCCCCCATATAATGGGCCAGCAGGAATAGGGTTAAACATACAGCCTTGACAATAACAAAG